TAGAATGCGAGCATTTATTATCCTAGCCTAGTTGATTTTACTAAAAGGTTTATAGCGCAAAAATAATAAAAACATTCGCCTGGACTCCGATCATAAATTTCCAGTGCGTAGAAATTATAAAATTAGTTTTACAACTAAAATAATAAAATATCTAACCTTACCCACAGGACACTGACCCAAATTATTCTCATTTATTTATGTTACATATCGTAAGAAAACCAACATCAAACAAAAAGCAAGTATTTAATTAACTTTACATTCTTTATTTTTGCGCTCTCCCGGGGCCGGAGGCAGCAAGAATAAATAAACATCGTGTGCTCTGTTTGTGCGAATAATAAATTTCTCAAATATTTGTAAACACAGCAAAACGTTACCTTGGTGCGTCATTGTTTGCGAAGAAACCGGCAACAACACCGAATTAAGCAAAGATATATTATCTCACGATTTTCGAGGCCGCATCGTAAATCTTAGTGCAATATTATTCATTTGCTGAAGATTATTATAGAACGCGGCGAGGTTTGCGGATGCAGAGTTACGAGCTGTGGCTATTTGCGTGCGAGCAATACATCTAATTAATTGCAATCTGCCGCATGGTGGACGTCGGCGTGCCGGGAACACCGATTCCCGAGTGTTGATGCAATGCACCAACGCCGCCTTCGGTATGCGTGTTATATATATCAAGACGTGAGGGCACCTTCTGCGGCGATGATCAAATACGTGCCTCAAAACCGCCTTCGAAAGCTCTAACCGCCACCTACGTCATGGTGCATGCTATATCGAACCAGCGATCCGTGTCATGACTTATTAGACACTAGATTAAGGCGTAATGAAGGTTCATAAAAATGCCAATATGCTCTTATGGCATTTATTGGTCCCACATGCATGCATACCAAGTATCTACTTAATAAGAAAAATTAATGCAACTAGATATTTTACCTTTAAAATATGTTCGAAGAATATATAAAGATTAAAGTGGAATACGAATAGAAGCATCGGATATTTTGCAATTTGTGTTTGCATGTTCGGTGCGTCCCAAGTCGGCTTGAACTAAAACAAAGCAATTCGGAAAACGAGACGCACGCGAAACGTAAAACGACGCGGGGCATCAAGATACACGTACCCACTTACATTACGTTTGAAACGCGTCACGCCGCCTCACTGCCGCCACCACCACTGCGCTGCGCTGCGGCGATGAAGGTATATTCTCGTTCGCTACACGTTCGCAGCATAAAGGGATAAAAGTGAGCGACCAAAAAAGATATGCGAACGCATTTGTTTCCTTTCCGGCGTGCGAATCGTCGTCTAGCTTTTGCGTTTGTACGAAGGCGACGTGCATTAGGTTCTACGTTTGTTGCTTTCTACGCCTACGGGGCGTCGAAGGTAATTCTCTAACATCAAGTGAGCAAAGCGTAAAGAAAACTCTGTCGATTGCAAATTCGCTGGATTTGAAAATCTAATAAATAACGTGTTTTCCTTACATGCAAATGAAATACGAAAAGTTTTTTTCGTTGATTTACAAGTTTGACAAGAAGTAAAAAAAAGTTTCGAATTCAAGGGGCTAGTAAAACGTTTTACAGCCCTCGGGCGCTTTAAACTTTACTAATTTTTGCTCTGGGATCAACGCCAACAAACAACTACAACTTAACTTAAGGGTTTTCGGTTATTCGACAACTACATAACCTAGAAAACACAGGTGGGCGAAATAATAACATGTGTACAACGGCCACAACTTGTCCTCCACGTATTATTATAAAAGAAAATAATAAAATAACTTTTCCGGCAGGACTAGAGCTAAAGTAGAAGCGCGGGTTTGAGTACAAAAACTATTTAAAACCTCTGTAATGCACAAGTTTCTTTTACGGGCTTTCTTCGTATATTGAGATACAAGTTCGGCAATTCGCCGAACACCCACACGCACACATCTTTCGCGGCAACGATCCGGATGTGTAGACGTTGCGAAAGCGTGAAGTAGCAAGACTCAGGTCACGAATTCTCACTTAACTTTTCATGAGGTTCGGCTGGTTCTAGTCGAAAGTGGCAAGTGACGGCAACGAGGACGGGGATCATCGAAGATCATTTCAGATTATCTAGTTTGCGCATATCAGTGAAAGCAGTGGCGAGCGAGCCACCGAAAGGAGTGTTTGAGCACATTACCACCGAGGGCTTGTGCGAAAGCAGTCACTTTCATATATTATCGTATTTATGTACAGGATAGCCCGGGTAGTTTACTCTTTCGGACGTGATCTGCGTGTAATCACCCTCGAACATTGTGCGTCTGGCGACCGCTGCCTACGACCAAACTTTGCCAATCAGTTGTCGGATATGGTGTTATAGAAATTTGAGAAGTTCCACCAGCGCGCAACATATTTATATTTTCAGGTGAGTATGATTTATGTGCGCGGTAAAAAAATATTTTCCGATTATTAAACAATTTGGAAAACGGCAATAAACGATCATAAAGCCATCGTGAGATAACACTGATGTTCTCTTTATTCATATTTTCCGGACGACCCGACCCTGCACAATGCGTGCTCGGCGCGCAGCCGAGGTTTTAAAGCGTGTGCCATAAATAAAATCGAACTTTCCGCGTACATAGTTGATGCATTTTCGGTGGACCAATATTTATCATTCTTCGTGGGTCGTTTTGCAAATATTTTCCACCGGTATGGATACCTATACCTGCGACATGCAAATGTGCGCCGCGCCATCGAACGAATTCATTTGCGCACAATCGCGCACCGGTTTAGTTAATAGCTTTAATACAGCTTTTAACATTTATTGCACGACCGAAAAGCAAACAATTGCATTTTCTATATGAGATTATTTGAAAATGTGAAATCAACATATTTTCCACCGCAAACAAACCAACACCTGTGGGTGTAATTTTATTTTCGTCTATGTTTTGTCGTAAAATTATAGTTTTCTAGCAACGGCAGCTGCAAAAATCAATAAAAAATCCCATTCTCGTAATTTTCGCTTCGTGTAAAGAGTAATGCGGTTGTAATTTTATCCAAGGTGAGTTTTTCTAATAGCTGGAGATCACGAGTGCAAGAGTGCAAAGAGTGCAAAATACAGACGATTGAAAGAACGCCAGAGGAAAAATAAGAAGGTACTTCACGTAGGCGAAAACTTCAAAAGCTCTTCGAGTGTTCAATTGCTCCGCAGTGTATCGGCATTTGCCGTAACGTAAAGAGTTTTCAATTTGCTGATTTTCCTGAATACTAGTACCTATAGCAAATCTTTCACCTTCTTTTACTCATAGTTTCTCACGGAAAGAACAAGGAAATATTCGAAAAGTACAGATAAATTCTCAACATTATTCACAACATATGTGACAAAGTAAGTTGAAAACTTTCAAACGCATCGATATGCAGAAAATTTAGTTACGACAATAGAATCGAATATCAATAAAAACATAAAATGTTTCAACTTACAACAATGTAAGTATAGATGAGAGCTTCCTCTCGTATCAACTACATTTAATATTTATAATAAATTAAACATGCAGCTGAAAGCTATTCCGAAATAAATAATAAAACGAAACCAGCAAGTACTTCAGTGAGGTAATATTCATTTTATCAAAGTACTAGTCCATTAGCAGCCTAATTAAAATTTACTTACAAAATAAAATACGGTAAAGATAATACCTTTAAAGCGGATAAAAATAAAATAAAATAAAACCCTATCCTAAAAGCTCAATTTACTACTAATAAACTAAACTCCGGCATTAAAGCTAATACATTTAGCAAAAAGTGATGTACAAAACCGTTTCGTAGTTTCAATAGATGCGAAAATGAAGAAGTTTTCAACCTCAAATCCGACGCTGAAGGTAGCGTCACTTCGAAAGCGACATTTGTGTTAATTATGTGTTCATTGGGGCGTTCGCCATTCTTATTTTTCCTTTCGCATGAATAATTCATATCGTCCAATGAAATATGCAGATGCTTAAGATGTCTAAGTGAATTTGGTTAAAACGTTACGGAACATTTTTATACCTTTCAAAAGTTTGAAAAAGTCATTTTACGTATGATGGATTTAATTTGACCCTGCATTATGCAGGTCTAATGAACTTTAGAAAACTGTGAATATAGATATCAAATACAGTCTGTATTCTATTAAATGACGTCAGAAGTTTCCAGCGCAAGATATCCACATGCTTTCGATGTTCCGGTTTCCGGATAAAGTCCTCGATTGTATCAAATCCCGCGCACGGCCAGCAAAGTTGGGACATTTGCGTAGGGCTAAAATACTCAGCGCTAAGCATAGCAAATGCACATATTCTAACGCCATCAGCTTAGAAAACTGCCAGCGCAGGACCTTTCTTGTCATCTGACTATCATCTCAGATCTCCGTGGTCGTCATTCCGTTTCAATCTCAATCTGTATTTTACACTCGACCCGGCTGAATTTCGTTAGGTGGCGAAACAGTGTCTGCTTTTAGGGATTATCGTCTGGAAATCGTACCGTGCGACAAGAATAGTTAAAACCGCAACTGCCACTACGTTAATAAATAATATTTCAGTTCAATGGCAGCTGGACAAACGATCAATACTCGAATGAAAAACTTTTACGAGCCGCCAGCAATTATTTCATCAATCTAGTTTATAGTCATTTATTATTATAAAGGGCAGTAAAAGTTATCACATCCGAAATGCATTCTACTCGGGCATAATAATAACTTCATTCGATTATTATATTTTCAATAACCGTTAATAATTGTTTGCAGTATAATTTCACCACGATTAAATTTTGTATTTACAAAAATTTTAATAAGCGAATTAAAACTATTAATAAACTGGTTTTTAAGTAATAAAAATGTAGCTATAAATGCATAATTATAGCTTATTGAATTATTCTCTTAGCAGATTCCCGTTGCTGTGAATAAATTTATTGAAATAATACTAGCAGTGCACTCTACCGGTGAGTTTACAAAACAGACAAAAACTTATATTATTCGCTGATGCATGGCTCCACGTGTATTAAAATAGAATCTCACAAGGATTTTTGAACAATTTCAGTAGATTTGAAGGACGCCTAACCTGTCATTTTTGTTATAAGAGGGTCTTCTTCTAATACCTTCACGTGTGCAGCATTGTACAAAAATACTCATCAAAAATAAAGTATGCCTTCTTGGCACAAAATTCTCAGTTCGCCTTAAATTGGCATTTAAGTCTTGTGATATTTAAGTGGAAGTAACCTACAAAACCTATTCTAGTTATTTCTCCTTGACTGGTAATCTAGATTAAAAAAGATCAACTCATTATCAAGATGTTATCCTTACTACGAACGCGTTTACCGATTACCCAAATAGTACGTCATGTCAAGGGAGAAGCATACAGACAAGTACCAAAGATATCAACACAAATTCGTGGAGGCACCTTATTCAATGATGTATTTGGGAAATATTTGTTTATAACAAACACAGTCACATCAGGTGTTCTCATGGGTCTTGGTGATTTGGCTCAACAAGAAATTGAATACAGAAGACACATGATGGCAGAAAGATATGATTGGGCTAGAATGGGTAAAAAACTGTTTAATTTAAATGAAATTATCAATAATATTATGACTGTATTGAATTGTAGTGAGAATGTTTCTGGTTGGATTATCAATGGGTCCTCTACATCACTATTTCTATAAATATTTAGATAGTTACATACCAAAGAGAAATCTCTTCTCTATAACAAAGAAGATTCTACTTGATCAATTATTAATGTCACCTGTATGCATTGCTTGGTTCTTCTATGGAATGGGAATTTGTGAGAATAAAGATTTACAAGAGTGTACCAAAGAAATTAACGGCAAATTTGTCGAAGTGTATTTAGTAAGTACAATAACTGGTTGCCTATAGTGCTCCAGCTTCATTTCGTTTTACTTTCTAGATCGACTGGAGCGTTTGGCCACCGACACAATTCATAAATTTTTATTTCTTGCCCGTGCAATATCAAGTATTGTACATTAATTTCGTAACAATGGTGTACAACGTTTTCTTATCATACATCAAACATAGAGAACAGGCCATGGAGAACAGGTATAACTATTTTAACGACTATGTACGCGTTGAATGAAGTCAGAAACGAAAAAAGACAATAATTTGTAGTCAATCTAGTCAACAGTCACAGTATCATTGATTTATTTTGATGCTATCATTACTATTTTTGCTTGATTTTGCATGAATCAGACTTTGCTAGTGTAACAACTTAACTTTTTTTACTTTTATATTTATTTGATTTGATTAATTTGTTTTAATTTATTTCCACGTTTGTTTTGTTTTAGAAAAGTATAAACTGCTTGCAAAAAACTAACATTTGAGAGAGTGAATCATTGCAAAATTGTTCTGTTTGAACTTGCAAACAATTTGGGACCTGAGCAGTTCATAACATGGAATGCTTTATCATGTATTATTTCCTGTATTACCAATGTATCAAAATGCATATAAAATTGTAAATATCTCAGAGATATTAAACTATTTATTGATTGTACATGTACTTAAATGACGTCCAGCACTTAAAAGACGTATCGTTAGAAATTGACTTAATAAAACTTGTACTTATAAAGTTTTTTTGACCGAAATAGTTTTTTAACAAATATGCTGATCATGCTGAGTTATAGTGACTTATGCACTATAACCGAGGTATATTACTGCATCGGAAAGAAATATAGGGCGACCGACCCAAACCGGCAGCACCAGCAGGTAATTACACCTGTCCCCCTTGTTTCAATACTACCTTCCGCGGAGCGTACTTTCGTTCGTTGGTTGTGAGCCGGCTGAACAACGAACGCTGACTCGTGATCATCGAGCGCGCCGCGTATACTCCATAGTCGGCGTGTGTGCTTTGAGTCGTTGGCACGACCGCTGTGCACATCGTGCTGTGCTATTCGCCGAGTATTAATTCAATATCGCTCGCGCAGGTACGAATTAACCGCGTACCTTGTACTCTCCGCACTCAACAACAGATCGTCCGCCCTGGACTGATAAAAACCGAAATATTTTGTGTTCTAAAAGTGCGCAAGTGTGCGAGATGAGTGCAGGTAATATTTATCATCAAAGCGATATAAAAACACTTACACTAAAGGAGATTACGTGTTGATAACGCCGAGTATCAGTTAATTAATTCATGAAGATAACGCAAGCGAACAGCTTGTCATGATCTTGCATTAGTTAGTGCGTAGGTGGATGTGCAATCGGATTTCCACTTTTGCGGAACACTGTTACAGTTATTGTGCGAAAAGGGATTTAAATTAAGTCATAATGTTTAAAAAGAACAAACTGAAAGCCAGCGCTGGCGGTCCCGTGCCTGATGTGTTGGCAAACCGCATCGAGAACAACAATCAAACCAATCAGCAGAATCAGCAGAAGAGCAATGGTGGCGTTAAAGGTACCGAATTGGTATTCCATTGTCAGTTGGCCCACGGGTCGCCCACAGTGTTCGTGTCTGGATTTTCGAACGTCAAAGAACTGTATGCGAGGATTGCACAACAGTTTGAATTTCCCGAAAGCGAGGTATGAATATAAAGTGACGAAACACGATTTATTATCGCGTAGGTGTTAATTATTTAGCATGAGCTAAAATTTTGGTATGAATTATATCAGAAAGTAAAACGGCGACCCCGCTTTGACATTTTATTTATACTCGGGCAAGTTTTTGGAAAGTTTACCGAGTAATTGAACTTTTGACTTTTGCCTTTCATTCACGATTGTTTTATAAATGTAAAATGCAAGCATACTGATTGAATCTACCAAATACGATAGTATTTATTTTATACGAAAAGTAAGCACATCCTTTTTTGCATCGAATTGTACTTTCAAATTTTAACAACCCATGCACTTTACTATAAAGCACTTAATGTCAACGACATGAAAGTCAGTCTTCAATTGTGCATGTGCTCAAATAGATGTCTAGAAATCTTTGAATGCAAGAATAGTATTTCCGTGTTTTTTTATTCTTATTATTGCAATTTTAACTTGTACAGTTCAAGTCGAATGTTTTGAAATAAAATAACGAGAAAGCAGCGAAAAAGAAAAGTGTTTAATTGAACACCCACTAATGTGAACACGTCTTGGTCATTTAAAAACAACAATGAAAGTATACTCATACCGAGATTATGGAATTTGCTACGCGCATGCTTTAATTATTTATAGAACTTGTTATACTGTGATAAAGCTGCTTATTGTATGACAAATAGCAATTAATTTCAACGACACAATAGAAAAGTAGAAATTTGCACCTTTTTCTATATTATATTTATTCGTATGATAAAAGTAAATATATAGAAGTCAGGTATATGAACCAAATGGTTAATAGAGATATTATTTGTTCGAATACCTTTGCAGGTAGACAAATTTGCTATACAATAAAATATAAACTCGGTGTAAACTAAAGTTTAGTTTATCCAAGCGAGAGTGAAAATTCAAGGTACTGCCAATTATATAATGTGTTATGATCAAATTAATTTGGCGTGTCAAACTAATTGCAAAAGCAAACGCTATAAAACGGTCATTGTGAGTGTAATTGTAATTCGCAAGCAATTCGCACATTAACAACAACATTACTTAATATCTTAATTTGTCTTTTCTTCTCTATATTGAGTTGAATTAAATGCAACAAACAATTAACTAATTAATACGATGTTTTGCCAACAGTGATCATTAAAATTAAGAATTTAATCTTACAAAACGTTGTTTTGTTAATTTTCGAATGAAATTGAAACAAAAAAAATAAAATTCCGCGGATATTTTCAAAATTACCTGGCAATCATCTAGATTATGATAAGTTAATTGAAGTATGCCATCATTAATAAATGATTAGATATTTTATTTTCATAAAAAAACAATTTTTAATCTTATCTGCTGCATTAACAGCTTATTCACGCCACACTTGAGATCATTTTCTAGCTTCCTAGGAGAATGTCCCATGTAAATCTGTCTCTGCGGATGATCAGTTCTGCTTCACAAACTTATAAATCCGTGAACCCATGATCTGTATTATTGCGCAATGTTTTTCCCTGTATTTGCCATCAGTGTTCACATTGGCAACATGAGCGTGCCGTGCCGATGCACGCAGCATGCGACCTGTAACCAGCCGGAGGAAAGAAGCACGAAACAAGAGGAAACGTTCTCGAATTGACGGTCATTCACACCGTGCACGACGTACCTACACTCGCGCACAGTTTATACCTGCTCTCTGTTGCAGGATTACATAGGACCCTATCAAACAGACATTGCGCGTACTTTTCCAACTTAATTCATAAATAATCTGTTTGCGTATGTGAGTTTTACCGCGACTCACCTCAAGCGCATAGTCATGTGACGCGAATTCAACATTTCAACAAACTTAACGAAGCATTGAGGACGACGATTTAGCTAATCGAATTTTTACCACCACAGAGATTTGATACTCATATTAGTTTTCAACCTGCAGTTATATTGTTTCAGTTAGAATGCGATTCGTTTCATGACTGTTTTTCAATGAACGTTTAAACATCTGTGATTTTTTTCATTCACTGTCGATTATTTAAGATTTTCGTATTGCCATTGCGGTAATCCTCAGATGTTTGACAAATAGCTGTAATATAATTCCACTTTTTCTGATTCCAAGTCGTAAATAGCTTAATTTGCGTCAACTGGAATTATATGGAATACAATAGAATAGATTAAATGAATTCAAGAGAAAACCTCTAAAAACTTCTAAAGTCTACATTGTCTCAAGTTTATTACGAAATAATTCGGCAAACAGGCGAATTTTACCATGATTTCACAAAATTACTTGTAATTAAAGTTATTAATTGAACCAAGCACTGTTGAAAATCCAAGTGTTTAATTACTACCTATGCAGCAATAACGCACAAACACGAACAAGCTTGTTTGTTTGCTTAATGTGTGCATCAGCATACAACAAAGATTTCTATTTTATTACGAAATATATTTTTTAGTTTCTAAGTTGGTAGCTAGTTAATTACACATAGTAGGTACATGTAAAATTTGCATGCGGCGTAAGTTGCAAATCATGCACAAGTTTCAACGTTCATTTTTAAATATTGTAAGAATGTAAAATTAGTACCTTGTTTGAAGCAGTGTTTCGGCGAGAGCGATAACCTTGTTCATCGTATCGGCAAAGGAATGTTCAATGATAAGCAGCAACACGTTTGCGTTTTTCAGTTGCACCGTGCGTCCACGCGATTGTTATATACGCGATTTTTCACGATCACTACACTTTCACATGCGACTGGAAAACCATTAATCGATGTCTCGAACAATGGGCGAACTCAGTTCAATTAACTTACTAAACTAAACGAATTAAAATGTCCGTTACTAACGAAATTTGCGATAATGTTTGGACGCAGGTGCAACCTCACGTAACGCCACTCGCGGAATGAATACTGACGCCAATTTTTTGCATTTCTCTAAGTTTTGGCGGGAATAAATGACAGATTAGCCATTATTTTTATATTGGCAATCCTGATTGTCTATGAATTTGAAATTTAAATGTGAATAAAACTTTTTAAAGTGTTAAAAGTTAAAATCTTTCTTTATTTACAAACATTTGTAGATATGCTTTATGCATTCAGTCCGTAGTTGGTGACATTCAAATTGAAGAAACAGGAAGTATGGTTAATGCTTAAACCGGAAATTCATTTCAGCGTATTCGTATTCAACAACGCGATTCTTCGTACATAACACATGTGAACATAACAAATGAAAAAAAGCAACAAGAGATAATCACTGAATATTTAAATTGCTTAAAGCATACATATGTTTAGATGGATAATTTGTTTGCAACATATTATATTCTTGTATATAATTTAGATGCATTTATATGCTTAACATTTATAATGAAGTTGTAAGTGTATATCTCTTCTTTTACGCGAATCTTTAACCAATAAAATAAAATATTCAATGCAGAAGTTTATGACCGTAAAGTGTAACAAAGCGTTTTACGTGCGTGTTCATGTTGGAGTATAAAGATGCCGACAAATCATTTAGTTTTAAACACTTATACAGTGCGTCAGAAAGCCAACAATTGCTGAAATCTCAAATATTAATTATTTACTCTACAATTACATTTAGCACACAGCGATAATCTGCGGACAACGTTATTATATTGCGATAATTCAAGCTCAACACATGCCAGCATTAATTAATGACTTCCTTATGTAACACATTAAAATATTTTACGATGAACGCCTTGCGTGATATTAATCTTTGTGTTTATCTCTATAATTGTTTCTACTCGAATAAATTTGCTAATAGCAGTGTTATCTTTATATTTGTTGTAGATTTTATTCTGTACACTCAACACATACAAAACGGACATGAAGAATTTACTTGCTGGACAAATCGGACTTGAAGATTTCATTTTTGCACATAAAAAAGGTAATTATCACTTCTTTTACAGCAAAATTATATATTCTTATACTAAAGTTGTTATAATTAAATAATTATTATTCAGGTAGACCAAAGGAAGTTGAGCTCACAAAAGATGAGACCGCTTTGGGTCTGACCATCACAGACAACGGTGCTGGATACGCCTTCATCAAACGCATCAAAGAAGGATCAGTCATCAGCAAAATTCCGCATATACAAGTATGGATATATGTTTAGAAACTTTAGTTGCATAAATAATTACAACATATAATTTCTAGGTGGGTGATCACATTGAGAAACTCGATGGAGAACTCATGATTGGCAAGCGCCATCACGAAGTGGCTCGTATACTGAAAGCAATTCCAATGGGCTCGACATTTATGATGCGTCTGGTTGAGCCGATCCGGACTGGTTTCACAACGATACAGCCCAAGTCGAACAAGAAGATTGGCAAATCAATGGGCACTGGCAGAGAAACATTACGTTTCAAAGCAGGAGGCAATGCAGAAGTTGAAGAGAAGGTATAACCAATATATAAATTTCAATTTCTACTCTGTCTGGATTGTATTAAAACTTTTTACTTTCCAGGACGAAATGATGGAATTAGCGATAGAAAAACTAAACTCTACTATGGAGACCTTCCTGGGTATCAACGACTCTGAGCTTGCTACACAAATATGGGATATTGCTGAGGAAAACAAAACTCGATGGAATTTGCGTATGCTATTGACAATTCCGATCTGCAAGAGTTTGGATTTGATGATGATATGATCATCGAGCTGTGGGGCGTCATTACTGACGCACGTTCGGGTCGATTGCAATGAAAGTGCCAATTTATTACTGTTATTTAATCAATTGGGCAATGTTAGGCTCATATTATATATAAACGAAGTTCGATCAATCTAAAACATGTGAAATATGTCCATACAGCGGCATCAGGCAACAATTGTTCTACTTAAAAGTATTTATTTTACATTCCTTTAACTTTGCTATAATATCATAGATTTAAATCATTTTAGTCAAATTTAATGAGGTGGAACGAAGTTCATAAACAGAATGATGATTGTATTGTTGTAATTTCTTTGATTAATTGTATAAAAAGAACAGTTTTTAGTTTTATTTTCTCTAAATGCTATATTAAAGTTGTGAGATGATTGTGAAGTATAAAAGACAATGTAAAACATATTATTTGATTCTCTAGTCCGATTTAAGCGCATTTTTGATAGCACACAAGTTGCTTCACTGTTTACTATGCATTTTCATCCACTAAGTGGCCTTAAACCTAACAGAAATCAATTAAAATGTAAAATATTCAATTTCTCAATATTTTCTTACTTGTACAAACATTCTGTCAATTAAGTTGCCTATAAGAAACGTACGTTTCCAATATTCCATTTATTGGAAAAGCAAATAGAATCAAACTCAATCTTGAAATCTGCTTAACAATTCAAGCAGGTTTCTATAGATTATTTATGTTTTCTGAGTTTGCTTCTTAACTGTGTTTGTTTACATTAAATAACTTTTGTATTCATCCCACGCTCGCAGTATGCTTTTTATTGATATAAATTAGTCTGTTTATTTTCGCATATTTGTTTTGCACCGATCGAAATTATTCATTGCACGTACGTTTCATTGTATGTACTCTCTTGTTCGAAACGTAAAACAATTTTTGTTTTATGGCAGTCAATTTCTTAAATTTGAAACGTATCTCGAAACGACGCTCCTAACTCAGAAAGTCAATTGGAAAGTCGTAAAGAATATCCGAACACCGAGCACACTGCACACGAAAATAAGAAAACGATTTTGGAAACAGGACCACAGATATTCATCTGTTTCTAGAGTTCGAAGTCCTGGAAGATGAAGAATATATTTTTCTATCATTCAAGGGAATTGAACAAGTATGAGTACTACAAATGCCATTTTACTAAAAATGTTTTTAAAATATTGAATCCTTGCTGATTTTAGAAATAGGTATAAATCTAATGAAATGAAGAAATATGTGTATTATCGAACTTAGCATGAATTATTTATCATTACCCTCTGTTTATTTTACTTTCAACCTATCATGAAGTATCTATGGCAAGTGTAGGCGGTGGGTTGCAAATCCTCGTTTATTTGATTTCCAAGCTCACATACCCTCGCAAGCCCAACTGATTCTACTGATTCAGTTAGAAAGAGATCACACCGCAGGATGTGGATCTCGTTTACAGCCACATATCTCCGTTCCTCTTGGATTCCCGTCGCAACCCCTGGAGCAGTCACTGCGTCGCACAGCAATACGGCATCTCCGTTTCCTCTCGTGGCCGCATCATATCCACAACGTGGAAATCATTCCTGGTACAATTTTCGGAGCATCCTCATTCCCACACTCGCTCAGCTGCAGTTATAGCAATTTTAGAATCCGTTATTGGCGTTAAGTCCGGGGAGTTAGCAACCCAGATTCAGCAATTTCTTAGCGCACTGCTATTTCCCTTCTGTCTTTTCTTCTTTGATTAATTACGTTAAGATATTACGTAATTTACTTACCAAACTAAACTTCTATACGCGTACCGAATTTCAGATGTGATTATTTAAGTTTTGCTGACAACTGTACATTTGTAGAACAAGTAAACTTTATTTTTCTGTTTAGTTTTACATTTTGCGGAATAATTTGTGTTTTCTTTCTTTCTCATTTACAAGGAAATAAAACCATTAAATAAATTAAACTTAGCTGAAAGCAGTCTATTAAATAGTGAGTATTTTGAAAATAATAATCATGTACTCTGAAAATGCTTTGATCCTTTGAGGAAAGCTACTTACTTTTTGTTAACTCGTGCAATGTTCACGTACCATTAAATGTCGATGAGGTTAACCCAGTGCCCTTTGATCTTTTAACAAAAATACAATTTCCTGCTTCTATCAATTTCTGTTCCAATCTTTATTGAAATTCCATTCAATATATAGATAAGCAGCTTTCAGACGCTCTCAAAAATTTGCTTGCTAAAACCTGCACTGAAACACAACATAAAACATTTAAAAACATAATTTAAATATCATCGTTAAGCTATTAATAATCCTTAATGTGTTTATGTTATCTCTACTTCAAACAACGTAAAATTGGCAAAACTGGTGGAGGCGCCAGGCAGCGTTATAAAAGTCATATAACACGTACAAAAATATCAAAGGTCAAGGATAAAAATACCTCACTTATACACAGACTAATGTTCTATGTTTGTTTAGGCTCCAGGATGTGGGCTAGTTTTATTTGAACGTGTTATGGATGTGGTCGACCGCACTGCCGCATTGCTGGACCTAATATCGGCATAAAAAATACATAATGGAAGATTAGAGAAAACGCAGGAGATAGAAAAGGATAGATACAGCCGGAACACATTGGCGGTGTCGATCGGATGTTGGCAGTCGGGAAGCTGGAGTCCTACATTCGCCTGCGTCCCCACTCAATCCGCCGCCACCGCCGGCGTGTTTGAAAATGGGCTACGGGAACGCCTGGGCCGCGTGGGCAGGTACAAGCAGGATGCGATAGCTGGAGTAAACGCAAAGTGAAGCGAGAGGGTGAACTGCGCAGGACACCTCCATCGACCAACCAGGCCAGCCCTGACCTCGACACACAATCCATTGCAGGTCAAACTTAGGGTGGAATATCGTAACACATATTTGACTATTTCCTAGTCTACACACTGCGTGCACCGAATTACCACTCAAGCTGTCAGATCTACGAAGGGCTTTTTTATTATCATGTACTGTATCAAGCTAGAGTACATAGTTATAAAAGTATTAGCTCTGAAAGTTTTTGGATTAAGCATTTCGTTAATACACTTTTGCAACATTTCACTAATCAAAACATGGAAAACTTATTTTTGAATACACGGCACATTCATTTGCATATTCATTGCAAGAAATGCCGGCTGGTTATGCAAATCGTCATAAACTTTTTTAATTTGAGCAAAGTTTATGCATTAAGGAAAAATCTGTCTTTGAATTCGAATGTGGTATTCAAGGAAAAATATATTTTCGTATTAATAAAATAATTAATAAGTTGAGCCACTATTTATACCACAATCTGCGTCACAATTATAATATCTCCGTGTGCTGACTAATAATTTATCTGTTTCGGACAGCTATAGTTGATATATTTATAATTGAACATCATTCAATGATAATGTCCTCAGAATAACCACAAAACTGATTTCACGTGCAAACTAATTTTTCAATAAATGATTTGACATTTACGTAAATCGGTCCCGTTCTCTTTTTTGCATTTTTTATTGAATGACGCCCACTAGTGTGGTTGACAATGGTGAAAATAGACATCTCGTTCATCAAATTGACGTACTCGGAGCTTTCTTGAGATTTCCGACAATACGCATCTTCGCTATTGTGTGCCGCCGTTCGTACGTCATTCTACTTCTATTATCGCTTGAGATTAATGCGATCTGTGCTCAAATGCACGTGCCGTTTCCGCCTACATTCTCACACACATTCAACAATTGCAGAAATGTCATGTAAAAGACATCCCTGCACTGCAGCCATGGTTTTATTTGAATTAATCATGAAAACGTCGTAGGTATGCGAAGACGGAGCGTAGACTTCAATTAATTTATTCATTTGTTCTGCAAGCGGTGACATTTTCATCAAGCATACAATAATGACAACATTACTGTATTACACGGGTGTTGCTGAAATGGTTGTGACCTTTATAACGCGTCTTTAAGTAAAACAGGATGGTTGTATCATGTGTCCGTCGCTTGCATCTCAGCGAGGTGCATTGGGCACCGCTCGTTATGCCTGGGGGCGGTACGAAACAGTCAGGCCCGAGCCCCAGATTCGCCGCTTCTGATAAGGTCAAATGTGAAAAGTTCATCCCGGGGAACTGCGCGCCTGAGCGTGCATTCGATATTTCAATAATTTAAACCTCTAGGTTTTATGATTGGAATTCCACGTCATTTCAAGAGCTACCGCAATCAATTTATAAATTAATTAAACCCTTTTAACACTGCTTTTATGTGTGTTTATTTATTTGTTTCAATACTTTAGGAATACACGCAGTTTGTATCAATTATTGATGAAAATTGAAATCTGTTAATTACACGTCCCGTTGTGCTTCAATTTGCATTGATTATTTGCGAGGATGTGGTAAACTTTGTTCTAATTTGCAGTTTAATTAATTAATTTGAACGCGAGCGCGCTTAAAACGTCGATAATAATTTGGCAGAGTCTTGGAATGCGGAGATCACTGCCGAATGAAATTTCAATCAGGAGCAGTAATTCGCATCGCTTTACTCAAGTGCAAACAAATAGAAATATATTGTACACGTCGTATGCAAGGAGGCCTGCGTTATTTCCCGGCGTTATTAATTCAACTTCATTAAGCAGCTTTAATCAACGTTTCATGTCTGCTTAATGAATTAGATAATTAATTATTCTATAACAAGTGACTATGTTAAATATGAATTACCATCAAGGATACTTTCATGGATATTTTTCAAGGAAAGAATTGTAGGTTAACACTGTGTCGCTATTTTTGCATGGTAGGCAACCAGTTTCACTAAAATTATTCATATGAATTTATTTTTGTTAAAAATATAACACTAGTTGATGTCTAAAGGAGTGCACACTGAATATCCTCTATTATTTCGCTGTGTTTATTATTTATAACTGTTTGCTCGCGTGAAGAATACGCGCATGCATTTGAAAATTTGCCCCACTTTATCATGCAACGAATATTTCTCATAAAACACATCGTGCGAATGCTTCTTAATACAAACACAGCCCACTGCCGGATGCGAGCACTTTTCTTGTGTTGCAGATTCGCTAAGATTGCTTTACATATAACAATAAAACGCTGATTGTTTGCAGAATGTTTCCGCGGGCAGGCGAGCCGCACAATGCACAATTTCTGAATCTTCAGTTGCCAACTCTTGCCAACTTACGTTTGGCAAGCACCACTCTAAGTGTTACGTCTGTAAAATAAAGCAGAAACTTATGTGCAGGCGCATCCATCAGAAAATAAACAGAAACATGGCTGTAAGATGTAACAAAGTAACAAAATGGAAATACAAATTGAAAATAAAGGCACACAAATTAAGTAAGTTCATAAATACTTGGGTTTCACAAGGGGCAAAAGTTTATTAAGCGTTTACAGCTTTCGAAGAAGTAAAATTTGGTGGTGGAATTTTCATGACAACGTTCCAGCATTATTTCCACGTAGTGGAAACATGGCAAGTGGATTTATGTTTACATCTTTCACTTTTCACTTTTCTCTTTGTGTTCTCGCTTTTCTCTCCTTCCTTGTCAACGTATTTGACTTCCATTTTAT